TCCTCTCGGGATCTTGGGCACGCACGCACACTCACCCGGTGTGAGTTTTAAACCACCTGGTACTAGACGCGAACCGTGGTCGACTACGTGGGAGTCCAACGACATAGCCATTATGCTAACTGCTGGTCCCCAAAGCGGAGTTTATTGCAAGGAGGCATCCCAGAAAATGGGTTCCTGAAGAGGAACTGAAGTGAGGAGTTTTTATCTTGGTTGGGAGGGGATTTGTTCGGGCTTGTTTTCAGGAGGGTCCCATGCATGCATTCCCCTTGTGGTGGGGGTCACTTGCTAGATAGATCTGGTTATTTTTTCTTAATTTTAGAGTGAGTACGAAGGTCATGAGACTCTAAAAGTTTTGAGCCAAAGATAATCAAATTCCTTTCACATTTCTGACACTGTTCAACCTGGGGTCTTTGTTCTCCTAGCCAACAAAACATCTTAAGTATTGAAGTTAAAACTTTACTTTTCCTTCAACTGGGAGTTTTAGAAGTCTTATCACCTTTATTCATGGCCAATGTTGCTTGATTATGTTCTTCTCAGAATGTGGTGGGATCTGGGAACAACTTTAATTGCTATATTTGCTTTAGGTCATGCTGCCTAGGTTAATCATTGAGTCACTGCTGTAAGCCATTTCTCGTGAGCAAGCAAGCAGTTCAGTGAGAGCTGAGCTGCTGCTGAACTATTGGGTCTCCATCTTAAAATTGAGCCATTTCTTGATTTTATTTTGGTCTTATATCCTAACTATATTTTTAGGGCCTCTGTCTCCTACCTCTTCGCCATAACCTTATCTACATCAGCTATGGGTGAGATTTAGAGTATGATTTATTCTGAGACAAATTCTCCTTCAGCTATAACTGTATCAAATCATTTTATGGTCTTCCAAAATATAGTAGTGGGATGGATCGGCATAGAATAGACATTCTCATTCTAAAAGCGAGTAAAAGAAAAAGAAAAGGGGTCCTAAACAAATTCCATGAGATCTTGAAGCTGGGAAATATTCCTTCATGGCTTGGTGTTCTGCTTTCCAGGCCCAATTAGGCTGTGATCTTGCCATGCCAACTCATTGGGATTGTGGTCCCAACCCAAGGGCTTTGAGTAGTCCTATCCTTGTGGCTTTGAGTGGAAACCATCTGGCTTTTTGAAAGCATGGTGGGTAGTCTTCCCTTTTGAACTCTGCTCAAAAGGTCCAATTTTCCCTAGGAGTTCTCTACATGTATTACTAAGGGAAAAAATAAGGATGCAGGTTCCAGGCACATGATCAGTTCATTGATGCTTCAAGAGGGTATGATCATCTCCTGGGCCTTCTTGACTGGAGAGGTCTTAGATAATCAAATTTCTATCACATTTCTGGCATCATTCAACCTTGGGTCTTCCTGCTTCCAGGCAGCAGTCTCCACCATGCATGGCCAGTGTTGCTTGATTACCATAACAAAGCTCTGAAGTCTTTGGGCCATTACAATGTAAATGCATTTTGCATTCCAAGCCCTTTAGAAAGTACATTTTACTTTAGTCCAGCCCTTATTAATTTTCTGCTTGAGAAATTCTTATTATTTTTTTCTTGGACAGATGGGGAAACTGAAGACCCATCCCATTTTAAGTAGTCCCTGCTCAGTTTCAATAGCAGGACATTACAATAATTGATTTTTATTTTTTGTATGCTAAGCCAAACTCACATTCTAAATTTCTTTTGTTTGTGGTATATACTTCTTTTTATATGTTGTTGGATTCAATTTGTGGAGAATTTCCCCTCTGTATTCGTAAGGGATATTAGTCTCTAGTTTTATTTCCTTAGGATGTGTTTTTTATTGATTTTTGTGCCAAGCTACTATCAGCCTCATAGAATGAGTTGAAAAATGTTCCTTCTTTTATTTTAGGGAAGGATATATAAAGCTTTAGTGTTGAGTTGTCATGAATGTTTCACAGAATTTGCCAGTGACTAGCTTTTTGTGGGATTCTTTTCTTTCTTTCTTCCTTTTTTTTTTTTTTTAATAAAGTATTTCTTACATGAGTGAGACACAGAGAGAGATGAAGACAGCATCCCCAGCAGAGTCCCCATGCCACAGTTCACCCCCAGCGTCAGCCAGCCCCAAATCATGGGCATGTGAATGCCTGGCATGTTCAGGGAAGACCTGAACCTGGAACATCTCTTGTGGATCAGACTTGCAGAGAATCACATTTTACCCCTGCATTGCAGTTTTGCCACATCTTTGTGGAAAATTTTAAACTACTAATATGATCTCTTTATTTGTTATAGGCCTATCCAGGTTTTTTATTTCCTTTTTAGTTAATGTCAGTAATTTATATTTTTCTAGGAAATTGTTTGTTTCATGCAAGTTTTTTTAATTGTTGGCATAACACTTTTTTCTTTATATTCTTTTGCTTTCTCTAAGATCACAGATGTGATCACAGAAATGATAGTCTCCCCCTTCATTTGTTATTTAAATAATTTGAAACTTTTTTTTTTTCTTTAGGTTTTTGCCTTAGGGTTTGTGAGCTCACCAGTGACAGACCGAGGAAAAGTAAGAAATCATCCTCTCCCAGGGGCATGGCTACACCATAATCCTTCCTCCATTCTCCTCGGGATTTGAGGGCACAACATGCTCATGGCCTGGCGCGCTTTTCAAGCTGCAGAGTCTGGGGCTCATATTGTGTTTGGCAATGTGGGAGTCCAGGACCTTCACCACCACACCATCTGCTGGCCCCTCCACACAGCTTTACTATTTGATGATCTAGACCAGCTGTTTCCATGCTCTGTAAATACACATCCCCTTTGGAACAGATAGCTTTACACACAGGGTCTACCAGTGTTCCCATTACTGAAAGCTTGCAAAATGCCTTGTCACTTTATACTAGGGAGTGTCATTATCTTCCATTCAAAGGCAGGAAAATTAGGCAGAATATGGCCTTGCGACTGAACTGATTCATTCATCTAACATTTTGTAAATGCCTACTCCATGACTGATAATTTGCACATGTTCTTTTTATTACCTATATATGTCTTCTAAGCTAGAATCATTATTACTATAGTGACAGTATTTTTCTTTTTTTTGGAGAGGTTTTTGCTATAGGGCGCGTGCGCTCGCCAGACAGAGAGAGACAGAGAGACAGAAAGCGAGAAATCACCCCCCAGGGGGGATGGCCACACCACAATCCCTTCTCCTCCATTCTCCTCTTGGGATCTTGGGCACGCACGCACACATGCCCAGCGTGAGTTTAAGCCGCTGGGTCCGGGACTTGAACTGCAGTTGACTACATGGGAGTCCAGCGACATAGCCATTACTCTAACTGCTGGTCCCAGTATTTTTAAATTGTTAATTTAGGTGACATAGTTTTTGAGCCTAATTATATAAAATAGCCATTTCTTCAGAGAGAAAACTTACTGTAGAAAATTGTAAGGTTTAGTCTTAGGAAATGAATCTTTTGAAAGAATGCCGGAGTATCTGTGAAGCAGAACAATTCAATTGAGCTTTGGCAACAGAGGCGAGAAGGAATAACCATCTGTGAGAAGGAATAACCATCTGTGTGTGAAAATGAAGCAGGAGGGTTTTGTAACTGAGAGAAAACTGAGGCTCAGGAGGCCTCTGGTGTTCCTGTGTTCTTTTTTTTTTTTTTTTAAGGAATTATTTAATTTTATTTGTTATTGTTATTATTTAATTTACTGTAGGGTACACATGCCCACCAAAGAGAGGGAAGGTGAGAAAGCAGGCCACCACGTCCAGGAGTTGAACCATGTTGGCCGGCCATGTGGGAGTCCAGCACTTTAACCACCATGCCACCTCCTCGCCCCTCGCCTTTGGTGTTTCTTTAATCTTCTTTGTATCACTAACTCCAAGATTTTGAACAACATAACTGTATTATTTTCTGCTTTGATTTTTCCTGACTTTAATTAGAAAATAATGACTTCTGTCCTGCACATTGGGTTATAGAGGAAAAAAAATAGTATAAATTGACAAAGAATTTTATAAAGTTTGAAGTGCTTTAGAAATGTACAGTACAGTAGTACTGTTTGATACTGCTGTCCTCTAGAAAATGGGGATGAATGTTGGGACCAGCAGTCAGCGTAATGGCTGTGTCGCTGGACTCCATGTAGTCGACCGCAGTTTGAGTCCTGGACCCAGTGGCTTAAACTCACGCCAGGCGCTTGTGTGTACGTGCCCAAGATCCCGAGAGGAGAATGAAGGAGAAGGGATTGCAGCGTGGCCATCCCCCCGGGGGGTGATTTCTCACCTTCTGTCTCTTTGTCTCTCTCTCTCTCTTTCTGGTGAGCGCATGAGCCCTAATGTAAGACGAGCCTGTCCTTGATCTACCCAAAGGTTTTTAAGACAGGGAGTTCTGAAAGGACTTTGCTAATAAAACATTAAATAGTGGAGCACACCGTTGGCATGTCCTGCATGAAGGTTACTATTCTAGCTTTCATTCACTTTTCTGACAGATTAAAGATAGACTCATAAGGGAACCAGCAGTTAGCGTAATGGCTATGTCGCTGGGTTCCCACGTAGTCGACCACAGTTCACGTCCCAGACCCGGTGGCTTAAAACTCACGCCAGGCGCGTGTGTGTGCGTGCCCAAGATCCCGAGAGGAGAATGGAGGAGAAGGGATTGCGGCGTGACCATCCCCCCTGGGGGGTGATTTCTCGCTTTCTGTCTCTCTGTCTCTGTCTGTCTGGTGAGCGCACGTGCCCTATAGCGAAAATCTCTCCCAAAAAACCCAAACAAACAAACAAAAAGAGATAGACTCATAAGCCAAATATTTTTCCTAACTATTCGCTTCAAACTTTTCAAATTTTTCTAGTTATTTTCAGAAGCAAAACTAAATTTATCACTCTTGTTTTCTTTATCTTTCTCTTACAGTGAAATGGTCAAAATAATGTGAATGATAATAGAAAGAAGTATGGAGTTGTGAATAGTTGACCTTCAATTTTAAATCATTGTCTTTATTACCTGCTTAGTATGTGTAAGGTAAACAGTGGATCCTGAGCCTGAAACTTTTGACCGTAGGGTTTTCTGTTTTTCATTTCCTAGCAGCCAATCAACTTAAAAACATGAAGGAGAAAAACCAGAATATAATCATAATGCATGCCTTGAAGAGTTTCCAAACATGAATTCAAAATAACAAGCCCTTCATTGAACTCAGGTATTGTACTTAGTACTGTATTGCATTATCTAACAACAACCCAATAAGGAACAAGTCTTTCATTTTCTATTTTATAAAAAGGAAACTGGCTTAGACAAGGTACTAGAAACTTACCCTGGGTTGCAAAGCTTCTAGAAACAGGAAGGACATTTTGTATCATGAAATTAAAAAGAGATATTTCCCCATTTACCCAGTAGTACATATTCTTTGTTTTAAAAAAAAAGTTTCAAAAATTCAAAGATAGAAAAAAGTCAAATTTTAAAGAGATCACTCATGAGTATGTGTGTGTGTGCTTGTAATTATACGCTGCATCACACAACGGGAGAGGAAGAGAGCAGCAAATCTGAGAGATGTGTAAGGAGTGGATAACATTGGTGGAGTGGTACCAGTAATGGAAGTCAAGAAAGCGTTTAATTGTTTATCTTGAGTGTTCTGACTTTTTTACAAGGAGAATGTTTTTATGTGTTAGTTTTAGAAATTTAAATTAATAATTTAAAGCCCTTAAAGAGGGCAGGCCCAGTAGTGCAGTGGGTACCTGTGCATGAACCAGATCCCACAATCAACCACGATTCAGACCTGCAACTTGAAAGATCCAGAGGCACACGTGCCTATTTGCCTCTGATCCTGACGGTATAGCGAAATGGAGGAGAGGGGTTACAGCATGACTGTGCCTTATTTTGGGGAGAGGGGTGTTTTCCTCTCTTTCTGTCTCTCTTTGACTAAAATATGAAACAAAACAAACAAAAATGCTTTAGAGAATGAGGAAAGGAAGCCAAAGTTCAGATTAAGCATAATCTTTTTTGTTCCCTTCTTTCATTTTTTTTTTTTTTTTTTATTTGCCAGAAGGTGCACTTGCCAGAGAGAGCCAGAGTAAAAGAGAGGGAGAAAGCACCTCCTCCTGGGGTGTGGTCATGTCGTAATCCCTTCTCCTCCATTTACCCATCCTCTTCAGATTTTGGGCATACACACTCAGTATGTTTTTCAATCTGTCAAGGCTGGGATTTGAACCCTGATCAACCATGTGGGATCTAGCTTTCTTAACCATGAGGCTATGGAGCCAACCCTTCTTTGCTCCCTTCCTACTAACTTCATCATCATAGCCATCCAACAATGTTTAAAACTTTTCAAAGATAGGGGCCAACAGATGGTTTAGTGGATTAGAAAAAAATGTAAATTATTTTCTATATATCCAGGCTTTTCTACATATACTTATAAACATGTACTTGGGTAAATATTCGTATTAAAATTAGGTTATATTATTTTTGTATTTTGTAGCCTTCTTTTATAGTCAATACCATATACTATAAACATTTTTCCATGCCATTAAATGAGAAATAATGACTGTTTAAAACAAAAATCACATGTGTTTAGTCTTCATTGTTAAGATGACTTGGATCCTTTAGACTGAATACATGAAGATATGACAAAATAGAAATGTCTTGGAGCTGTACTGAAAATCTGAAGTGCTTGTAGAGGTAGAATAGCTTGCTTAAATGGTTGAATGATCACTGCTATAGCCTATCCTACCTAAAACTATTACTGTTTGCCTGGTAGTTAAGCAGTGATATTCAACATTTTAAAATGTTAATCTTCAGAGCCAGTATGCACGATAGAATGCTGTTTTCGATGTCACTGTGGAAAAGACACTTGAATACAAAATACTTCTTTGTAAAAAAGTAAAGTGACCTGTAGAAGTACATTGACTATTAGTAGAATCATTTCTTCCTCTTGTCTCCTCCCAACTTTTTAGGAGATGTTTCACAAAGCAGAAGAATTCCTATTCAAGACGACAGAGAGCGAGATGGACGACATGGACACATCCGAGACGCAGTGGGGCTGGTTTTACTTGGCAGAGTGTGGGAAGTGGCACATGTTCCAGGTACCTGCTCTCCTGGGACTTAGCAAAGGGGTTAGGCCTCTCAGCCTCATCTCGCCGAAATGTAAAGTCAGTGTGAATGCAGACCTTGAAAGGAATCAACCCTCAAGGACATCTGGAGCTTAACTAAAAGGAGACGTTAGGGATCCTTCTAGTCCTTTTCCTTTTCTTTCCCCCAGGCTTTCACAGTAACTTATTTAGAAGAAAAGTATGTGTTCACTGTGTGTGCAGAGGGCAAAAGTAACAGAGTTGCGTGGTGTAAGAATATCTGAGCAACTCCAAGTTTGATTTGGTGGACAGAGAGGAAGGGAAGAGCAAGTCCATATTAAACGCCTTCTGTGTGCCAGGTTTTACCGTAGGTGTTGTACATGTATTTTTTTCCCTCTGTCTTCACAGTGACTCTGAAGCAGCAGCTCTCTTACAGTCGAAGCGAAACTCAGAAAAGTTAACATAATTTGTCCAGGGTTACACAGCTAGTTAAGCTGAGATTGGAACACATCTTCAAAAACCTGCAGTCTTTTTTTTTTTTTCTTAACCCTACCAAGATCTTTAGAGTTTTCATTTGAGCCACTTAGAAAGTATAATTGTTGGAATAACTTGTAAAAATTGTAATAATTTGGAAAGGGACCAGTTGTTTTTTCACTGGAAGTACTTTAGCCATTTTCAATATCCTGGCTTAGTTGTGATCCTCTGTATTTTGGGAACTAGAATAGGTGATTAGTCCTCGTCCCTCCTTCTCTGTCTCTGTGACCACAGGACCACCTCTGTAGCCAAGTCATTAATGTGAACAGCTGGTAAATCAAACTTTCTGGTTTGTCTTAAAGCCGGATACCAACATTCAGTGTTCAGTTAGCAGTGAAGATATCGAAAAAAGCTTCAAAACAAACCCTTGTGGCTCCATTTCTTTTACTACTTCCAAATTCAGCTACAAGATAGACTTTGCAGGTATGTTTTTTTTCCCTAATAGTTGTGTGTTTTTAGTGTATTAATATGGTAAAATCTACAGCCCTGAAGATCAGGATTAGTTGGTATATTTGCAAACAGAAAAGTAAATCCTTTTTATTATATACAAAATGCCTCTGTACAAATTCAGCATTTAAAATCTTGAGTAACACTGCCTTTAATAGAGGCATGTTTATATGCCTGTATATGTTAATGTATATGAAGATTGTCATATAATTTGAGTTCATGTAATGCTTGAGCATCAAACATTACATGAGCAGCCATAACTATTGTTTTATTAATTGTCCCATCAGATTTTTGAAATAGGTAGGAACCTTTTTTTGTGTTTTTTAAGAATTATTTATTTTATTTATCATTATTTAGTTTGCTCTAGGTCATGTGCACTCACCAGAGAGAGACAAAGAGAGAGGAGAGAGGGGGGAAAATGAGAAAGCAAGCTGCCAGATACAGGACTTGAACTGCAGTTGGCCATGTGGGAGTCTAGCACCTTTACCACCACTTTTAAGGATCAAACAAAATGTTCAGTGAGAAAGGCATGTGTAGCTGATGATCATTTCAAGACCAAAATTTAGCTGAATGGCCCTTCTCTTTGTTAGAAAACCTTCACGTTAATAGGCATTGCTGTCTGCCTTTTTCTGACTTCGTTGGCATGTTCACAGATTAGCCAGCTAATCTGGAAATCAGCCACACTTTGGGTTTCACCTATGCAATGTTTTTAGGTATACTGTGAAAAATCTATTGGACTCAGCCCCTGAAAGTAAGTTTCCAGAACTAGTGCCAGCTGTTTATTGCTTATGGTATCAGTGCATCTGACCAATTCTTATCATTTATCAGAATCATTTATATAAATAAGCATGCCAACAAGGCCTGGGTGGGGAGACTTTCTTAATAAAAGTGCATTTTGGTTGCTGCACAGCTTAGTCCTCTAGCTTTTCTTTCCCCGTTTCTGTTAGCGGTGTTCCTGACGGCCTGAATGATGTCAGTGATAGATGGCACAAGTGGTGGCTTTATGATGGTGTGAGCAGGGTATGATGGCCTGAACAGCGTCTTTATGACAGATGATGTGAGTGATGTCTTTATGAAGGTGTGAGCGGTGTTCATGATGGCATGAACAGCATAAATACTACAGCATGAGCAGTGTCAGTACGATAGTGTGAGTGATGTCTGTATGAAGGTGTGAGCGGTGTTCATGATGGCATGAACAGCATAAATACTACAGCGTGAGCAGTGTCAGTACGATAGTGTGAGTGATGTCTGTATGAAGGTGTGAGCGGTGTTCATGATGTCATGAACAGCATAAATATTACAGCATGAGCAGTGTCAGTACGATAGTGTGAGTGATGTCTGTATGAAGGTGTGAGCGGTGTTCATGATGTCATGAACAGCATAAATATTACAGCGTGAGCAGTGTGAGTACGATAGTGTGAGTGATGTCTTTATGACAGCATGGGCAGTGTCTGTATGATGGCATGACTGGTGTCTCTGTGACAGCGTGAAGGGTGTCTTTGCAGTAGGGTAAGCAGTGTCTGTGACAGTGTCAGTAGTGTGCTGTAGTTGCGTAGGGTGCTACGACCTCATGGCATTCCCTTGGATGAGCAAAGGCCTAGAAATGGTGATGGGAATTTGCTCAGTAGAGGTTGTCGCAACCAAATATCTGATGATTACTGTTTGCCAGGACTGTTTTTCTTCCTTTTTTTAAAAATCAAGAATCAAAACCATTTGTTATTGCCCCTGAAAAAAATAAAACATTTTATAACATTAGGTAAATAGACTGCCCCCTGAATCTAGGCAGAAGGTTGCTGGTAGACATGCTTAGTCACATGCATAGGTGCTGTTTTCGAAGCCACACTGAAACAGGGTGATACATACCGACACCAGGCTTCATGTGGAGCAGAGTTTGTCAAAGCGTTTGCCAGTTATTCAGCAAGCCAGATATTTCTGAAAGGGTATTTTCTAATAGACTGTGCCTTTTGGAAGCTTCCTGTTGGAAAATGAAATTTATTAGAAAATACGTTGATCAAAGAAAAGGAGTCATATATACTAGTAGCTTAAGTCCCCCACCCTCTATATACTGACACTGCTTCAAAGGTGTATTAGCATTTCTCACATACTAGATGCAAAAGCTCTCAGCCCCAGTCACTCTGCCGCTGGACAACTCAGCTTCTCTCTAGACAAATGGTGGAAAGTAACTCAGAACGAGATGGTTTGAAAGCTGGCACCACAGGCTTTGCTCTGTGGGCTTGCTCTTCCTTGAACAGTGGCAGTGCCAGTCTACGAGCACACAGAAAGGCCAGGGTATACTTACACTCGCATTTGCTCAGGTGGAATGCAACGATACCAGCTGGACTAGATAAACTGGCTAGGTCCTTACATTGACTGCTATTTAGTTATTACGGGAATGAGGAAATGGATTTGGTGAAATTGCCATGACTGAGCATGAAAGAATGAAAAAATGATTCCTTCAGGTTAGTCTTTAAGCACTAGAATGCTTTATCTAGCATGTATTGAGTCTAGCTAGGTTTTTTATTTTTCCAGTTTAGGTAAACAATTTAAAGAGAAGACAAGAAATATACACATTTTTTAAATTCTGTAAGTTGTGCAAGTGTTATAATGGTAATGTATCTCTTTTATGTTTCCCCAAATTTTTAGAGAAATCAAAGTGTATTTTTCTATTTAAAAACCAGCCAGTAAAGTTAGTATTAGAATTTCTTTCTCTTTTCAATATTAATTGCCTAAGTTTAAGACTTTTTTTTTTTTTTGGAGCGGTTTTTGCCATAGGGCACATGTGCTCACCAGAAAGACAGAGACAGAAAGCGAGAAATCACCCCCAAGGGGGATGGCCACACCTCAATCCCTTCTCCTCCATTCTCCTCTTGGGATCTTGGGCACACACACACACACACACACGCCCGGTGTGAGTTTAAGCCGGCTTTTCCAGAACTCGAACCATGGTCAACTACATGGGAATCCAGCGACATAGCCATTACACTATCTGCTGGCCCCAAGATTATTTTTTTTTTTAAGAGAGGTTTTTGCTACAGGGTGTGTGCACTCATCAGAGAAACAGAAATCAAGAAATCACCCCTCAGGTGGACAGCCACACCACAGTCCCTTCTCCTCCATTCTCCTCTTGGGATCCTGGGCACACACGTACACACGCCTGGAGTGAGTTTTAAGCCACCAGGTCTGGGACTCGAACCACAGTCAACTACGTGGCAGTCCAGTGACATAACCATTATGCCATCCCAAGACTTCGTTTTAGTGTCAGTTCAGCCTGAGTGACTATATAAAGGAGTAGACCCTGTACACTGAGCTGTGTGTGAAAGTGGCATCTTTATGTGTGAGCGTAGGTCAGGCAGTGGAGCCACGTTCCCGAGGAGAGCACCTTTCTGACATGATAATGGACGCAATATAAAGTAGTGTCAGTATACTGTGCTCGTCAGCTCCTCCCCGAGCTCCGGGGTTCCGGATCATCATGTAATATGACTGCTAATCTTCGTGACACTTTATAGGACTGTGTGTTCCCATGACTTACCTGTTACCTTTGTCTTTCTATACAGAAATGAAGCAAATGAATCTCACCACAGGGAAACAGCGCCTCATAAAACGAGCGCCCTTTTCTATCAGTGCTTTCAGGTATTGTATAGAGAGCAGGGTTAGAGAGGGGGAGTTTCTCCTCTCCCTCTTTTGCTGTTTGATAGAAAAACAAACAGACCAGAATGTTTTGGTAGATTGTTGAATGATATTAATATTGGTCTTTTAAATACTGAATCCCTTATTTCTTGACAAAAGAGCCATATTATTCTTTTCCTGTCAGTGTTTCCTCTCCTGTAGTTCTAGTATGTTTGTCTTTCCCAATTCTTTAGAACAGTTTGCATGGTGGTTACAGAATGTCTTATGCTTTCTGCTATAAATGCTTAGACTGATGCACTGAGGTAGGTTTCGATTGTTAACGTGGATCTCACAAGCCGTCTAGTTATTTGAGCTAGAACTCCCAGGTAATTGCACGCTTTGTCTCCACCCGCACTGATCCCCACTGGGTAACTCCTACAGAGGAATCTGTGGAGACCATTGGGAACTTGAGAAAGTCGAGAGTGTAGGGTGACATTTGTGCAGCTCCCTCTTCCCTGGATCTGGGTTATAAATACTCTGTTTTGCTTTTTCTGGCCATATATAGTCTGAAAAAGAGGTAAAAATGCTTGAAGAGAATAAATATTTGTTTCATGTAAGTGGAATTGAAGGGAAAAATCTTAGAGTGTCTCTCTTCGTCTCTGTAATGATTCCTCAAGCAAGTATTGGAATTTCTTGTGTTCAAAGAATTTAAAGTGAAACTGAAAAAAAAAAAATGGTACCATGTATGTTGTAGAGAAGCCCATTTGCTCCCTCCAAGGAGATATCTTGAAAGGATTAAAGTAAGAAATATTTTAAGTTTTCGATTTGTTTCTGAGGACTTTTGGCTTATATTTTAGTACCATAACGTAAAAGTTTTTGAAGTACTTAACAATGAATGTTCTAGCACTTCTATAAATATGAGAATATCATTTCCTTACCAGCTACATCATATTCACAGTCAACAGTACAAGGAATGTAATAAAGGCATTACTTATCTTCAAAGAGTTTATAATCTGGGAGAAAAATGAGACATAATAATAGGAAAATGTCATTGTGATTGTGTGTTGCTGTATCTAGCGTGTTGGTGGGAGGCAGAATTACACGAGAGGTCAAGCTCTTTGTTCTGCCACAGTCTATACAAACCATAGAACAAAGAAAGTGAACATTAAACAGAAGGGAGGACAGCCAGCAAGATAATAATAAAGGAGAGGAATAATTAGGTAGGCTACTGTGGCATGATGGTCAGTAGGCACCGGTACGGAGTGTTTTTGTCATAGGCATCTATGGAGCATTTATTGCATACAAGGCAGATTATACACGTTTCCTTTTGACAGACTTCATTAAGGCTGTGAGCTACGTTAAAATTAAACAGGTTTTATTTTTTTAACAGCTGAAAGGTACTGTAGACAAAGTGAGAGAAAAATTGGAAAAGTATTTTTATTCGTTGTTAGAGTCAAAGGCCTAATCTCTGTAGTTTATGAAGTCCTGGGACTCTAAGACCAACATGGGCAAGGGATTTTAACAGTTCATATAGCCTCACTCATCATAAGGGGACTATACTATATCATACTATTTTTTTATTTTATATTGATAATAAACCTTTTTGGAGAAGTTATGGAAAGTAGGCATTTCTAGTGAGAATGTCAATAAGTGAAACCTACAAGGGTGGGATTTGGGCAATATTTGTCAAAATCGTGAATAAGCATATAATTTGAACCAGAGATTTCTTTTATTCTACAAATAGATTGGTTGACATTTAAAATAACAAATGGATAAACTTGTTCTTTGCAACATTCTTAAAACATTAGCAATGGAACCAACAGTTGGTGTAATGGCTATATCGCTGGACTCCTATGTAGCTGACCGTGGTTCAAGTCCTGGACCCAGTGGCTTAAACTCATGCTGGGCGCGTGTGCGTGCATGCCCAAGATCCTGCAAGGAAAATGGAGGAGAAGGGGTTGTGGCATGGCCATCCCCCCAAGGGTTGATTTCTCGTTCTCTGTCTCTCTGTGTCTCTCTGTCTTTCTGGTGAGCATATGCGCCCTATAGCAAAAACTTCTCCAAGAAAAAAAAAAATTAGCAAAAAGTTAAAGACAAACTAAATATCCTCAATAGGGGATGGGTTAAATGAATTATGGTGTATTCCTACGATGGAATTCAATGCACCTATGCACTTCTTCATTCAGCCAGTATTTACTGAGTGTGGACCATGTGCCAGGATCTGGGAGTAAGGAGACGGGCACTGGGAATAAGGATACTTTCTGGCACTGATGTGGAAAGCTCTCTAAGAATATATTAAATGAAAAACAATAAACAGGTACAAAAAATTGTATGCCTTATGCTACCGTTTGTGTAGGGGAAAATATCAGCCTGTATTCTGAAAGACTACCCAGGAGAAGACGAGTGATGGTTGCCTAGAGTTGGGCAAGAAGTGAGAATTGGACAGACCGAGGACTGGAGTGGGAGCGAAAGTCCTCACTGTATACTTTTCTATACATACTAATTTTCAAGTCATGTTTGATTTTTAAACTGAAAAATGAGTTTTAAAAATGTAAGCTAGAGGGGATAGCAGGTGGCATGGTGGTTAAGGTGCTGGGCTCCCACATGGCCAACCTCAGTTTGAGTCCTGAACCTGGTGGCTTGCTTTCTCACTTGCCTTCTCTCTCTCTCTCTCCCCCCTTCCCTCCCTTTCTGTCTGATCATATTAAAAAATAGTAATAAATGAAATTGAATAAGTAATTCTTTTAAAATAAAAATGTAAGCTAAAGATAAGTTTGAACTGTATTAATTTCTCACGGTAAACTCCAGTCACCAGAGAGGATAGGTGCGTCAGTTTCAGCCTTTTGCTAGAACCCCTCAATAACACTGCCTTTTCTGTGTTCAAATTCCCTACCATGAACGTGTTAGATGGTTTTGAAAAGACTTGCTGACTGACTGTATTAAGTAAATTAATGTGGATTGTGTAAGAAAATAGCGGTCAGTAAACAGAAATGTTTAGGTTTAAGTTAGATTGTGGAGGACATTGAATGTATGCCAGAGGAATTTCGATTTTATTCTGTAGGCAGTAAATATAAGAGTTGAGAGATTTTTTTTTTTCTTCAAGAATTTTGATTTTTTTCAAGAATTTGATTTTTCTTCTCAGAAATTCCTTTTCTTTGCCTAAAATCTTCCTTATATTTAAAAGAAAATTTGAAATTAAAATCAAGCAAGATGAAACCGTTTTTGAAATTTTGATGGTATGTAGTTTTGGATATTGGCCATTGTAGTTGGCCATTCAGCACCTAAAACATAGCACACAGTAGACATCCAGTAAGTATTTTTAAATACAGAAACCAAGGGTTACACTTAATCTTACTTGTCCCATTAAAATTCAGTTCTGAATAAAAAGCTAAACCTGACAGTAACTGATCAGCTTCTGATATTTCATTTTGTCTTTTGCTGTTTAAAGTTATATCTGTGAAAATGAGGCTATCCCGATGCCACCGCACTGGGAGAATGTGAATACTGAAGTACCGTACCAGGTAAGAGCAGAACTGGCTGGATGGAGTGTGGAAGAAATTCTGAAGGGGGGAGAGGCTCCCCCAAAACACGATGTAATCTTCTTTTCCAGCTTATTCCTTTGCACAATCAAACACATGAATATAATGAAGTTGCTAGTCTCTTTGGAAAAACAATGGATCGCAATCGAATTAAAAGAATTCAGAGAATTCAAAACCTTGACTTGTGGGAGTTCTTTTGCAGGTGAGACAAGTTCTAATTCCATACCTTCTCCTTCCCTGAGACTGCCAGGTAAACACGAATGTTTAATTGTAGTAGTTGTCAGTGTGTAGACGTGCCGTGTGTTTCTCTTAGGTGTTGGGCCTGGTCTCAGTGTGTTTCTTAAGCATACTTAAGGGGGCGGAAGTAAAGCCAGACTTTGCTCACAGCATTGTACATGCAAGTTCTCCTTTCAAGGTTGAAAGCAGTGCGTCTTGGCTGAAATCGTCCTTACAAGGGAATCTTGGGGGTTGTTTAGAAGTTAGAAGTTTCTGGAAACTGTGTCAAGATTTGTTTTTTTAAAACAAATGTACTGTAGCTACTTGCTTGTTCTGTTTTAGAGGCCACTTTAGAACATACCTTCACATTTCCTGCTTAGCCCAAAGTTTATTTGTATGTTTAAAATCTCAGTTTATTACAAGATTTAGGCTGGAAACAAGCCACTAAATTGCTCAGTGTGTACTTTACCTAAAACCCCATCACAGAAAACCTACAGATATTGTCCAAGTTAACCCATTGTTTTACGTTTTTTATGGTGGGTATTAAAGTAAGTGATTCTGTGATACATTTTTAACTAATATTTGTGGGTGAGATTTTATTTTTAACGTTTAAAGTATAAACTGACTGGGACCAGCATTAGTGTAATGGCTATGTCGCTGAACTCCTATGTAGCCGACCGCGGTTTGAGTCCCAGACCTGGTAGCTTAAACTCACGCCAGGCGTGATGGGTCTATTTTCTATCCCCTGGGTCTGTTTTCAAATAGACCTAAACTTAGAATGAATTCTATGTGCCATCATCCCAAGTCAAGATTTACCATACATAATCTATCTCTTTTGTTGTTAATTGCTTTGCTAAAGTATTTTAAAACAAATCTCGGACCATGACTCACTTTGTTCCTATGTACTTGAGAATTAATCCCACTTCATTTTGCTGTGGTACATGGAATTCTTTCATGATTCTAACCAGCTAGTTAACGTAGCCTGGGTACATGTCCAGGTTTTAATCTCATCATAATTTAAAGAGGCTTTCAGTTTATGTTCTTTAAATTCTTGAGTCTTTGGCCCAAACTGGCTTATTTTTGAACATCACTGAGTTTAAGTGAGTTGAGAAGGTTTTTTCCTTTCTCATTTAGATGGTTCTCTCAGAGGGAGAAAGAGATGATCTGTCTCCCTTGGACTTTAGCCTCTCCATGAGTAAAGTTGTTTTTCTAAACTGCTCTGATGACGGTTTCATTCATTCTTCCTGACAAGCCTCTGGCATGGACTCCATTTTGGTCTCTCTTATAATGAGTTCTCATTTAAATTCTAGTGGTAAAAATGTGCCAGGGAATCCCTAAAACAGTTTAAACTAAGAATTTCAGTTTTGCTGAAACCGTTTTACTCTGGTGGTGCTCTTCCAGACTTTCTGTAATGCCAGCCCGTGGAAATCTGTGATGGTAAGTGAACCTGCCACCTGCCACAGCAGCCCAGAATACCAAGCCTCATTCTCAGGGCTGCCTGTCAGATGAACAGCTCCCCAGGAACTGAAATAACCTATTCGATCTTGATTGTCATGGAATCTGTGACTCACCACAGAGACAGTCAGACCCGCAAGTCTGTCGGGCTTCAGTTTACATGTTGACCAGGCCCTTCCCTTCCTTCTTCCAGCAAATGTGTTTCTGTACCTGCTTTGTGAAAGGTACCATTTTAGGCACTTGGGATATAATAGTGTGGAGGACACAGCTTAGACAAGGAGCCAGGCGATCACAGCACAGACATGTAGGGGCGAGTACAGGCTCTGGAAACACAGAGTGAGGTCAATCTGCTATTGCCAACAAAAGTACTGTGCGTTGTGGAGTGAGGGTCAGGGAGCACTTCATTAAGCAGGTATCATTTAAGCTAGACACAGGTGGGACAGGTGGGGTAGAGGAAGGGCATCCTAGACTTCAGGAATACATGGGCCAACATTTGAATTCAAGAGGGAGAATAGAAAATCGAGATAATTTTAAGTAGGTCAGAAAATTAGGATGAACAGTGATAGAAAGGCAGTCAAGAGGCAGAGCACACAGTTTATGGTGAGACTACTGCAGGGTCTGTGTGATTTTTCTTCAGCAGCCCTGGTTGAGTTGGATCGATCTGGAGTGGAAGTCAGAAAGCAGGCACCAGACTACATAGGGCCCTATAAGCTAAGGTGAAGGGTTTAGATCTTTTCTTGGGACATTGGAAAGCCTTTGTACAACTTTTGGCAAAAGAGTGATGGATCTGATTTGCATTTTAGAAAAACAGTTCATCGGGCCCAACTGTGGAGAAGGGGTTAAAAGCAGTGCTTCTCAACTAAGAAGGATTTTGCCTACCAGGGTTCATCTCATAGTGGAGACATTTCTGGTTGTCACGTGGAGGTATGGAGGATGTTACTGGCATCTACTGGATAGAGAGGCCAGGACACCAAAAAAAAAAAATCTCGCAATGCACATGACAGCTTCCCACAACAAAGAATTGTCCAGCATAAAACGTCGGTAGTGCTGACATCGAGAGACCCTGAGTTAAAGGGCCCCAGTTTGAAGCACAGAGACAGTTTAGAAAATTGGCACAGCAGTTACACTGAGGCATGTTGGGTAGCCTACACCACCCAGTGGGATCTGCTGCAGTGGCACTAAGAGTACAGTTTTGAGACATTAAGGAGAAATTAAGGACGTGGACCGATAGAACTTGGTGCTTGACTTACTGTGTGCAGTGAAGTGGGTAAGGCAGGTGGAAGGATCACTCCCAAGTTTCTGGCTTCTTTGCTTTCATTGCCTAAGGAAATAATGATCTTCGTCTTTAGGGATGATGAAGAGACAGTAGTGTTTGATGGATAGCAACCCATAATGTAGATTGCTAGCCAGAGTGGTAGAGAGCAGAGACAAAGGCTTTGGAGTTGTTTGAAATGGTGGAGTAATAGAAGACACAGGGATGAGTAACATGGCCATGGAGTGTATGTGGCTTAAGAGAAGAAGAGTGCCAAGGACCAAACTCAAGAGGGGATGAGCAGAGGAAGAGAAAAACCCAAGGAGGAAACTGAGAAGTAACAACCACAGAAAGTGGAAGAAAACCTTGATGAAACCAATGTTGGCAGACGATACTCTGGATGCAGAAAGTGTGTTCTAGTCGTGTCAGAAGCATGGCAGGGAGAAAGGTGAGAGATGTAAGAAGATAGATAATGTGGGGTCAGGAAAAGTGTCTCTGTTTTGTTTTTGCTCTTTGAATTTAAACATGAGAGAGACACAGGCATTTTAATGAGAAAGAACCTATAGAGAAGGAGAGTTTCAAAGAGAGGAGAAAGAAGAGGGCAATAATGGTGAAACACTCTGAAGAGGTTTGATGGAATGGAATTCAGAAGACATGTCAGAAAGGGTGTCTCCATATCCTGACATTTTTATCTTTAAAAGTTCTGTAAGTGGGACAGGCCCTGTGGTGCAGTGGTGTACAGTGCTCAGGAGAAGCAGGATCCCTCAGCAACAGTGGTGCGAATACCTGGCCTGGTTCAAGCCCCTGGCCCAGTCGGCCTTAAACATGCCCCATGGAGAATGCTCCTCTTCCTCTCTCCCTCTCTCTCTCTCTTTCTCTCATGCATGTACACATAGATTCATGTGCACATGTACACTCTGTCGTGAATGAAAAAATAAAAGGTCTGAGTAATTTTAATGTCCAGCCTGGAAAGAAGAGCACTGGTTTAAACCCAGGAAAACTCCCTTGGTGCCGAGCATGGAGGTATTCTCGCTCCAGTGCCAAGCACATGGCCACCCCAGCCTGCCTTCTTGGCACTGTGGTCCCTAAGAGGGTGGCTAACTTGGAAATACCTCTGAGAAGTGGGCATCACAGTGCTTGCAGAAAGTCGGAAACCAATGTGGACTGGGGCACAGGAGGACAGCCTTGTGAACTTAGTGTAGCCTTATGGCATTCTTTGCAGTTCAAGAGGCTCTGGAACTCAACGTGAGTCTTTCTGGAAGGTCGTATCTGAGTGTGCATAGTTCATGGGTGGTACCAGGTGGGTGCTAGAATAAGCCCCGCTGTGAGGACGCCAGGCTTCAACCACCCTGACCACTCTGCCTTGAACAGGTGCACGCTCCATCATGTTGGTGACACTGCAGTTTGTCAGTGCCTGGCATTACCCATGCTACTAGCTCTGTGACTAATCCATGGTTCGATTTAATACCTAAGAGAGACTCAAGTGAATTTTAAAACCCAGATTTATTTTAATCTGTGTCTGAAAAAGAGTGATGAGTGAGTACGCTGACTTTTAGAGTGGACTCTAATCATTACAGACCATGGAGCTAGACCTTAGAAGCCTGCACATTAAACATATTTACTTAACCAGTATGGACTCACGAATGCCAAATTAACTAATAGGATCACCATAGGCTAGGTGGGTAAGGCCCTTACACAGCCTAACTTGATTTCTACAAAGTGATTGAGACAAAATGAAATGTATTCTGGGTAGTAGTACAAAGGGGAAAGTTCATAGAAATCTTACACAGGAGTGAATTGAATAGCTGGAACACTTCCTTCTTGAGTCCGTCAGCATTGTTATCAGGAACTTGGATGAAAATCAGAAGGCTTACTTATCACCCTTGTGAAAGATTCAGAACTGGAAGGGGTAACCATATGAGCAAGAAAGACCTTGGAAGGTTGAAACAGTGGGTCAAAACAAATGGAAGATTATCTTGGGGAAAAAAACCTTGTTATAAAACCAAAACTTTTCTTTTTAGTTTGTTTTAAAATGTGAGAAAGTACATAAAGTTCCAAAAGAGAAAGTTGGTATAATTTGTTTTTAATGGAAACTTGCTGGCTTTTTGCAAAGTAAATAGTGCTTAATGTGTACATCCTTCTAAGTAACCGGATCTGGGAAGGTGGGCCAGTACATCCAAGTGTCTACATTTAGCTAGCTAACTGTTGAGAAATACCGTATAATTTTCATTTCTATCATCATTTAAATGCAAGTATCTGTTTCCTACATGTTCACTAGCTGCATGCTGTTTATAAATTCTTTTGATCTGAGATAGGGATATTTTACTTCGTTATTTAGTTTCTTATGCATTGAGTTTGAAATCAGTCATACAAATACAGCAAGCTGGGAGAGGCAGTTAGGAAAGTTCCTGGGGTTTAATGGACTCCTCACATGTGCACTGTTTGGTGCTTCTGCTAAGGAAATGAATGCTGTGGTGCCGGTGGAGTCAGGGCTTCGTGACAACGACCAGACTCTGTTTCTATTTCTTCCCAACGTTTATCACCTGGAAGGGATCCATCCAGCAAATCTTGCTCACTGACAACTGTCTGGGATGGAGAAAGGCTTGGAAGCTATGCTGTGCAGGGAACTGTGAGGGGCATGGCACATATTTAACCTAAAGAAGAAAGCCTAGTAGATGTTCACAGTTGAGTTTGGATATCTGCTGAGTTGTTTCAACTGTGTTCAGAAGAGAATAACCAAGGCCGATTTGTAGAAGTAATGAGAAGGCAGATCTGGGTTCAGTGTTGGAACAGGTGTACTTTCTAACAGTGATGGCCGATCACAAATATACTAGGTTCTGCTGCCTTGCAAAGCAGTGAACTCTTAATAATGGAATGTGATGAGGAGTCTTTTCTATTTTTCAGACATCTTTATTTATAAAACATTTCAAAACTCAAAATGCATCAATTCGTTTACAGACACCCATGTAGCCACTAGTCAGATGTAACATTTTATTACCTGTCACATTTCCTTCATCTTCATTTCTTGGTTTTGAAAGGCACAGAACATCACAGATACAGGTGAAGTGTTTTCCTCCATTCCCAGCCTGCTCGCCTCCTTTCCTTCTAAGGTTGGAGTTACATCTTCTTGTCTGTGGTTGTCTGTCTTTAGTACCTACTTAAGTACACCTGTACAATGCATAGTTGGAATTGGAGCTGTATAATCTCTTTTTGCAACTTTCTTTTTACATTCAACACTTCAAAGATTTATCTATGTTAATGCACATAGATCTTGATCATTATTTTAAACTTTTGTGTATAAATATATAATTATTTGTTCATTTCTTTGTGAAAGAATTTTAGGCTATTTTGTTGTTGTTGTATAATCATTCCCACATTGAATACTCTTTTGTGAACTTTGACAATTGAGAAGAGCTTAAACTGGATGGTTGAACATCCCTTCCCACCAGAACGTCAAACCAGTTCAACCAACATTTTCTAGTCTCTGGGGTAAAAAGAAAACAAGGTGGTTGCTCTTCAGGGAATTCACTATCTACAGTAGAGACTCTGAGAACTCTGTATTATTTCACTGCTTGTCGTCTCATTTTTAGGCACCTATGATGCTTAGTGCCCTAGGCAGTCAACTACCTTTAGTGTGGTGGGGCATGGTAAGGGGAGAGTAACGCACGATTTTCAACCTTAAGTCTCAGTGTTAACCAGTAAGTCTTGATGAGAAGATTTATATGCCTAAGAGTATTCAACATTATTATTTTCTGGAGCTACTTTATCCACTTTTGATTTCTATGAAAAATATTGTTTTCTATTTCATCTTTTCTATTGAATTTTGCTCCTCAACAAATACATGTGCTTTTGTGTCTGCATGTATTGTGTTTTTAGGAAAAAGGCTCAGCTCAAGAAAAAAAGAGGTGTGCCTCAGATTAATGAACAAATGCTGTTTCACGGCACCAGCAGTGAATTTGTGGAAGCGATTTGCATTCATAACTTTGATTGGAGGATTAATGGCATCCATGGTGCTCTCTTTGGAAAAGGTAATTATCAGAATTCCAGGTCCAATTTAGTCCTAGAGAGAGTTTTCTCTCTTCAGAGATCATTGATTGTTTGTAATTCAGGCATTTGATAGTCATTAAGTTAAAAGTGATTGTACTTGGTTCCTGGCAAACCCTCAGAGTGTCTGAAGATTCTTCTGCTGTTACCAGGTTAAATAGCTCCCCAAGTCCCAGTCATCCAGACAGGGCAACATGTCTATGCTAGCTGATTTTTTGCATTATATTTCGTTTTTATAAATAGGTCCCATGCATAAGCCTATATACTAGACAACTTTATGGCAAATATGTAGAGAATGATAAAACAGATGAATTACATTGTGCACTGATACAGGTACTAGTGTTTTTGTTTTGTTTTGTTTTTTTAGAAAATGCTAGGTAAGAATATTAATGAGCAATAAGGAATAATGGGGGAAAAGCTTACCTTATTTCTAATGTGAAAGTCCAAGCTCTCGAATTTATGCCCACTTCTCAAGCAAATTAAGGAGAGAGGTGAGGGGAAAGGTAAGGGATGGACATTTATTTTTCTGGTCCTTACTTTGTACCTTACCTCGAACAAGAGAACTGCTGACCACCACCTAGGATGAGGACGTGCTGCCTTTTAGAAGAGTAAATTCACCTTTAAAATAACTATGGAACAGGCCATCCAGTTATCTGAGTGTAAGAGGGTCAGAAGAGGGTTACATAAATCCCACTGATACTGGAAGATTTCCAAAATCTTTAGAGTCCATCCTCCCTTAACGATGTCGTCTCTCACATCTGTCACTTCGGAGGCTGTAGTTCCTGTGCTGAGTTTTCCCAGTTCAGTGAGCGAACCAGTGAAATTACCCCTTGGAACGCTCAGACGTGTAGAGCGTAGCACTCCCCCAGAAGTCATCTGGACAAGTATATCCAGAAATGTTACTGAGCCCTTCCCTCATAGCTTAGAATACGGGTTCTTGGGTTTAACATCGCCTCTCTAGACCAGTAGTTTTCACCATGTCGCAGGGCTTCACTGCTGCCGGACAAGGGCAGTGGATTGAGGAATGTGGCAAAGAGAAGACACGGTAGACAGATTCAAGCAGCCAAAACGCAGGCCTTGCCACATTTTAACACAGGACAGTGCTGACCTGTCCAAGTTCTTTGGTTTCTTTATGAGCCTTCTTTTTTGAAAACAGAAGCCTGTGTTTACTTTTGGCAGGGGCGGGGCATGGTGTCGGGGTGAGAACTGGTATCGCTGTGGTATGTATCACAGCTGTCCATGAGGAGCGGAGTCCTCGTCTTGCCATAAAGATCTGCAGATGAGGAAATTCCACATCCGTTTTTGTTATACGATGCCATGTGTCTGTTTTCCGGACAATTAGCATGTTTTGGCTTGTGTTTTATGTGTTCTTAGGAGTAATCATGGCTTTTTGTTTTTTTCTCGGTCCTTTTTGTTTAAGGAACCTATTTTGCTAGAGATGCTGCTTACTCCAGCCGCTTCTGCAAAGATGACATGAAGCATGGGAACACATTCCAAATTCACGGTGTCAGCTTGCAACAGCGGCATCTCTTTAGAACACACAAATCTATGTTTCTTGCCCGAGTGCTAATTGGAGATTACATAAACGGAGACTCCAAATACATGCGACCTCCTTCCAAAGACGGGAGTTATGTGAATTTATATGACAGCTGTGTGGATGACACGTGGAATCCAAAGATCTTTGTGGTGTTTGATGCCAATCAAATCTATCCTGAGTACTTGATAGACTTTCATTGATTTCACTTCCGAATCTCAGTGGTCAAAGACGTTTTATTCTTTTTTGCAGAGAGATTTGCCCTCCTGTCACCTAGCCACTAAATGTTAATTATCTGATACTTTGAAACAGATATGAGCAAAAAGTGGCCTTCATATAAAAAGACATACTGACTTAAGGTTGGTTTTTTTGTTGTTTTGTTTTTGTCTGTTACTCATGGTCTTGTTTGTTAAAAACTTATGATACCCTTGTCATTTTAACACATAGGGTGAACAGTGCCATTCGAAGTTGAGTCAGCCAAGTCTCTGTTAACATGCCATTTAGTCTTTAAAGTTTACATGTATGTTCAGGATAAATTATTTTAGTCCAAATAGACTTATTTATATAAATGTTCAAAAAGTGAAAATATAGACATAAATGTGTTCCTTCAGAGGAACTGGTCCTTTGTCAACTGAATTCTGATATTATTGTCCACCAATAAACATGTTGTTTTGTTGGTCTCTGGGTGGGGAGATTTAATACCTTGAAACAGCCTGGTATTTGAGAGGGATCAGAATAAGAGCGTTACTTGCATAGCTGCCAAACAAGCAGAAGGAGGCACTCAAATAGGGCTTCCTGCTCCCAGTCGCCTTAGGACTGCAGGTTGCAGCCTCAGGCTGGCTCCTCTCTCTCCCACCTCCTACATCTGCCTAGAACTGGGTGCAGGCTGCAGTTAGCCCGCTTTCATCCCACAGGGCTCTGGGTTCTCGTGCCAAGACTTGCTGTGCAGTGTTTGTTTCATCTCCATTGTGAAATTTTAAAAGACTTATTTTCGATTTTTTGCTATAGGGTGCATGACTTGCCAGACAAAGAGAGGGGATGGAGAAATCACCCCCCAGGAGCAAGGGGCAGAGATAGCTATACCACATTCCCTTCTCCTCTTCTCCTTTTAGGAGTTTGGGCGCACACACCTGTGCCTGGTGTTTTCAAGCCACCTGGTTTAGTACTGGAACTGTAGAGTTGGCCATGTGGGAGCCCAGTGTCCATTTCTAAGCACTATGTCACCTGCTGCCCCACAGTGAAATGTTTATGTATTATTTAAAACATTTTCCCTTTGTTTGGAGTCCTACAACGATCACTTCCAAAATGTTTTCTTCATCTGCTTCCCTACAGCACACACAACTATTCAATAATGATTTCGAAAATTCACATTTCTAAGTTATCTCATCACTTTGAATGATTTAGGAAGCATGGAATTGGGAAAAATCTGGTTTATCTATCCAATAGCAATTGCAGTCTGTTGGGTTGTCAGAAAAGTCAATGTATTTTTTCTATGTTTTTTTTTTTTTTTAAATGCAAAGATACATTGAGACTTTTCCAACAACCCCCAATTCTAACCCTCTAGAAAAGTTAGGTACAATTCATAATCATGTTGAATGGAAGACTATGTACCTTTCATCTGTTTTGTTGTTCTACTAGAAGGAAGAATACTAGTGTTGGAAGAGCATCCGGTACCTAAAAGTATTCTAGTAGAGGCTACACGACGATTTAGCAAGAGTGTACAGATTCAAGTACCAGACAGCAAATTGCCAATAGGATTGGGTTCCATCTTTCCAACATGATTCTCCTTGAGAAAGAGAGCATTTGTACTGAGCCGTTCTCAGAAAACCTTTTTCTAATTCCAGTACTGAGTTCTCTCTCCATTATTCTTACCCCGTTTTAGCTGAGAGTAAATGCAGTTTAATTTCTAAAAAAATAAATAAATAAAAATAAACACCAGTAAATGCCCACACCTATACTGTTCACTTCAGTCGTTCAAATCATTTGGAAGGGTGTCTAGAAATAATAAAGGTAAAGATGATGGACTAGAATTGGGGCTGGCAATTCTTGAAGTGCCATATACACCCCAGAGTATATGTGATGGTGCAGTGGAGAGTAAGCAGGAAATGGTATATGGAACACTTAGAAACAAAGGGATAGTGAAGGTTTCCTGACTCAGATACACAGACTAACCCTGGCTTAAGTAAAGTGCTATGACTATTTAAAAAGCACATTTTAAAAACATGCAGAATGGGGACAGCAGGTGACATGGTAGTTAAGGCTCTGAACTCTCACATGACTCGCTGTGGTTTGGGTCCTGGACCTGGAGGCTTGAAAATCACCCAGGCACATGTGCATGTGTGCCCCAGATCCCAAGAGGAGAATGGAGGAGAAGGGATTGCAGTGTAGCTATCCTTGGGATGGGGATGACTTCTCACTTTCTCTCTGTCTCTCCCTGACAAAATAAAATAAAGACATGCAGAGATTGTCATGGAAATATCTGAGCCAGGTCAGTTACCCGTGAGAGAGGTAGCACGCCATGGCTCTCGACTCGCTCACATAAAAGTGTTAAAGAGATGCTGGAAATCTTCTGTTTGTTGATTTGTTATCGACATACAGAGTATTAACACAGATCCCCCTTCAGTGTGGTCTCCTTTATTTCCAAGCTAACATGCGTACCTCTCTGAGCACTGGAGCAGAATGGCTGTTGTAGCATTTGGGAGTTTTCTTTCAGACACATGCAGGTCTAATCTCAATGTGAGTAAGAGCCCAGAGTCGAGTCTTTGCAAGGTAGTCTGTTAACTCTGAATTGACCTCTTTGGTTTCTGTGGCGTGGGTCGTGAGTACTGCAGCAGCCGGTGTAAGAAGGTGCTGTGCTGTTGCTGCCGTCCGAGAATGCACTGCCAGCCCCCTTTCCTAAGACAGCTGATTCTGAGACGTATTTAGCTATGATAGCGCGGAGTTAATGATGATGCAGTCGTCTGCCTTCGTTTTGGCCAGTAGGTGGAGTTGAGAACCCCGTGATCATTGTGTAGCACAGCTGCACAACTGCTGGCCGTCTTTGTCTCTCGTAGTCGCCTGGAGTGGGGGAGAGTGAAGAGAAACCATTCCTGATTAATGCTGTGTGGTTTAAAAACATCCTACATTGATTAAATTCTAGCTGATAGTCACTCTTCTTTTTCACTTTGGTGATAGCCTCAAGGTAACCAAGAAAAAAAAATGTGTTCATAGAAAAGATTTTCATAAATCTTGCCGTTATGAATAGAAAGGTTTTGGTGCAACATTTCATTTCTAGATTGCTGATGGTGATGATAAAGAATTGGAAGCCGTTTTTATATATGAATATGTTGTTTTATTCGTGGTGATTAAAGCTCTCCATAGCAGGTCTTGGTTGTCTGTGTATGCCGCATGTTTATTTCTGTGATTTCCATGGCTCATCTCCACCTCACGTTCTTTGCACCTAAGTTTTCAGCTCAAAACAAGAGCTCACAGGGTATTTGTTGCCCGTAACTTCATGTGACCATTTCCAGATGAGGGAAGTCTCTTCTTAGCTGGAATCATCGCGAGCAGCAGCTAGTCACATAACCCATGGGAGAGTGTTGATCCTGTGCAATGAAAATCCCCAAAGTGATGGAGGCCTGGCTCCACAGCGTCTGTGCCCTCGGGGGCTGCCCTGACTGAGCAGCAGCACTGGAGGGTGAGGACTCATTCCAGCGTGCTTCCTGCTGTCTGTCCAGCCTCCAGCCCCTCCCAGCATGCTGTGGTCATTCCTGTCGAAGCAAGGAAGGAGATCCTAAAGGGTTTCCCAGTTTGAGAACTGAGAGGAATGAGGAACACAATGATTAAGGCTCACTTGTGGAAATAAGTCACATTTCCCTTTGCTAAAAGCATGTCCCAGTCTGTCTGAATGTTGGACTGATTATTAAGACTCATTGTGATAAAAATTCAGGCATGCTCTGATGCTGTAGAAGTGTGCCTTCTTATGATGTCATTTCCAGGTCATTCAGGTATTTGAAGTCACCTCCCAGGCTGCCCGGAGCAGCACAAGAACAGTCTTACAGTGGTCCTGGCTGTGTTTCAATCCCCAGGTTTCTTCTCTCTTTGAGGAAGGATGGTTGTGTGTGTGTGTGTGTGTGTGTGTGTGTGTGTAAGTTATTGCCATAAAGTGTGTGTACTCACCGTAGAAAGACAGAAAGAGGGAAAGTGAGAAATCACCCCTCCCGCGGGGGCAGAGGGTATGCCACAGTCCCTCTTCAGTCTCTCAGGATTTTGAGCATTGATGCACAGGCACTCAGCATGATTTTGTTTCTTTTTTTAGAGATTTTTTGCCTTAGGGCATGTGTGCTTACTGGAGAGAGAGACACAGAGAAAGTGAGAAGTCACCCCCAGAGGGGATGGACACACCTCAATCTCTTCTCCTGTATTCTTCCAGGATCTTAGGCATGCACCCACACGTGCCTGGTGTGAGTTTTAAGCCGCTGAGTCTGGGACTCGAACCATTGTCAACTACATGGGAGTCCAGTGACATAACCATTATGCCATCTGCTGGTCCCCGAACTTTTCAAAGCAATAGGAACTATACTGTTATTTGGGGGCTGCCTGGTTGGTGTATGTGTGTGTGTGTATGTATATGTATATATATATATATACATATACATACACACACATATATATACAGGGAGGAATGGACCCTAAATATATAGGAGAGAAGTTCAAAGTGCATTTTCCCCCCCTTTTTAGACGTTTTTGCTATAGGGTACGTGCGCTTTCCAGAGAGACATAGACAGAAGGTGAGAAATCATCTCCCGGGGGATGGCCACACCACAATCCCTTCTTCATTTTCCTCTTGAGATTTTGGGCACACTCACCTGGCATGAGTTTTAAGTCACCTGGTCCAGGACTTAAACTGTGATCGACTACATGGAAGTCCAGTGATGTAACCATTATGCCATCTGCTGCTCCCCAGAGTGCATCCTTTAACCTTTGCTTTTTTTTTTTTTTAACTTTATTTATTTATTTAAATTTGAACAAGAGAGGGACAGAAGGAGAAAGTGAGAAAACAAGAAAGCAAGGCGCCAGGTCCGTCTGACACTCGAACCATGGTCAGCCATGTGGGAGTCCAGTGCCCTCAACCACCACGCCACCTGCCAGCCCACCTTTGCGTTCTTTTTACACTGGTCGTTTATTTGTTATGTTCTTGGAAGCTCTGAGGTGGAAGTGGTTTGGGAGCTAATGCAGTCCCTCCCCTACCCCGCCCCATGGTGGGCCATGTCTTGGTTAATGTAACACTCAGACTCCCTTGCTGTAACTGATTCTGGTCCCTGCTGTAAGATGATGCAATCCCTTTTCTCAGCCTTAATTGCTTGGCCTTTATTCGTC